GCTACTAGGAGCAAGGACGCTACTAAGGCCTTACTACTAGGAGCAAGAACGCCACATCCTGAAACGCTACCAGACACTTCAAAGCCGAGGCTTTGCACGGCTGCAGCCTGTTCAAGCCTCTTGGAAATGACATGTGTTCGGTTTTTGTTTTTCCGCTTTGACCACTCCAAACGGCCATTTCCTGGAACCCAGTCCTAGCTAGTTTCAAAGAAAGAGGTGATTGCCCTCGGATTTTTTAAAGATCCAAACTACGATTGTTTCGAACCATTGCTTCTTCGGCAGGTTCACCCACTTCCCACTCCACTTCTCAACTTCACGAAAGCCTCCGGAAAGCAGAGTGACGTAGACCGAGGAATTCCGAGAGGACTACGAAGCAGAAGAGATGGATGAGACTGAGATGGGTGATTCCTCGTTGAGTCCAGCTGCTTGCGTGTGAGCCTCTGCCCGGCCGGGATGGCTCCCCCCAAAAAGCAACTGCAGACTGCCTTATATTGAGTTATATTGTTTGACAGGAGTTGAATGGAAAGGTCAGAAGACACAACAGTGAAGAGATTCGGAGAGTCCTTTTGTAGGAGCAAGAAGCTACCAGGGGCTCCTGGCCTTACTACTAGGAGCAAGGACGCTACTAGGGGCTCCTGGCCTTACTACTAGGAGCCTCCACCACCCCACCCGCGCGCGCGCGAAAAGGTCCTAGTAGCATCCTTGGCTTGTAATTTTAATTCTATTCCAATTAAATTCTAATTAAACTTAATTCTAATTCTTGTTTCTAATTGCTTCTTGCTCCTAGTAGTAAGGTCAGGAGCCCCTATAGTAGCTTCTTGCTCCTAGTAGCGATGCCAGGAGCCCCGTTCGTAGCTCTTTTTTGCGTCTTTTGTGTCAGAGATGACTCTTGAGTGCACCGCTGGCAAGCGGTCGCTTCTTTTATCTTGAATTCGTCGAAGAACGGTCGCCTCAGGTGCAAATGCGACACAGTGCCGCGACCTTCAAGAGCATGCCTCCAGGCCAGATACTGAGAACACCTTTGACCCAAAAAAGGGAGGCTCCAACCTAGAAGCTTCCTTTGAATGCAAAAGGAACCTAATAGGAATGGCCTCCACCTAGTAGAGTCCTAGTAGCGATGGCCTCCAAGCTACTAGCGATGGCCCCATTTGGGAGGTCCAATAGACCCATGTCAACCCGCTGTCATGACCGGAAGGGGAGCTGACTCTTTGTTGCCCTTCTTGCACCGTGTGCAGGATTTGTGCCAAGCGTGATGCAGGAGGGCGGTAAAGGAAACTGACGTTGGGTGGCACCGTGAGACTTCTCAATGGAGAAAACAAGAAAGGATCCTTTTTGGAGGGGGGGTAGGTCGTAGAATGTCGTAGAGGTAGCTAGTAGAAGAGGTAGCTAGTACCTACAAGTAAGCTACTAGTATGGACGCAGGATAGCTCACGCTTCCTTGAAGAATCGCTCGGACTAATGATTTGGTTCCTAGATTTTTAGGGAAACTTAACCTACTAGTAGCTTCTTGTCACTATAGTAGCAATGGCCTCCAACCTACTAGTGATGGCGTAGTACTTCTGGCGACATGTCCAAACACATTGCCCCTTCAGTCATGCACTACATGTGTATATTGTTGTATATGTATCTATTTAGTCTAGACACATATTATATCATGTATATATGTTATATATACATATCCTACCCCAAAAGAAGTCTACCTTTGGAGGCCTTTGAAGCAAATGCTTGCCACTATTCAAAATGGGTACCAAGTCATAGAGCTGTCGAGGGACTGGCATCAGTGTAGATTCACTTCTACGTAGGAAGTGTTTGGTTTGCAAATGCTTTACTCACTCTTTTTTGGCTACTCATCCGTTAAAGGTGTGAACCGTTTGTATGAGCAAGAGACAAGTTGAATATGCAGACAAGGCGCTAACTGCCAATGGGACAGGCTAACCAAGAGGGAGAAACACAATGTAGTATGAGGAATGGTCCTAGGTGCCAGAATCTACGTGAAACATGAATAACATGTTTGAGGTCAAGAACTCTTTAAGTACAGAGTACAGGTAAGCATACTCATGTTGATTCCGGCCAAACTTCGGATTTCGGCCTCGATCCATGTGGGTCCATGCGATCCATTCGATCCATGCGTTGGAACCGCCAGGTTCCTCGGCCACCGTCCACACAATCCTCAAGAAGCGAAGGTTTCTTCGGTCGCTTTAGGCGAATGAGGCAAACATCAAAGTAGGAGAGCAGAAACGACGCGGCAGACAGACATGACAGGAGGCCATCACCAGTAGACATGACATGAAGTGGACAGGAGTGATCTGGTGTTCTCTGTTCAAGCTTTCGGAAAGCGCGTCGAACGACGAAGAGTTGGGCGTGTTTTCGACTCCGATGGGTGAAAGTATGTGAAAAGCTATTTCGATCCTCGGACAGGCGCTCACTGTGTTTTTTTAAAAGCCGGTGCCAGAATCATCCAGCCGAAGATGGGGCCAGAGTGAAAGTTGGAAAGACATCTTTATTTCAGTGACCTGTTTTGATCAGCTTTAGCTGCTTTGAGTTTTGTTGCCAAGCGCTTTCACTGGGCCACCGTTTTAAGTTTTTGCTGCTGAGATTCAACACCTGGAAGTCACTCCTTTCGTGCCGGAGTTCAATCTCGTGCTTCAATCCTGCGTCAACATCAATTTTTTTAAAATCCCTAGTGAGGCGCCCTTTTTCTCACTTAAGCACTTGGTGCTCCGGCAAATGTTCTCCATTGGAATTTCAAAGTCGCAGGAAAGCCGTACTATAACGAGAAGATATGTTTTTTTGATTGGTCGATATTAAATCGGACTTCCTGCAATATTGGAAGACATGTACACCTCCAAAGGAAGATCCTTGAAGATGTCTTCAAACCCCTTCTGGACTAAATTACCAAAATGTTATCTATTGATTAATTGGGAATTATTAATGACAATATATATATATATATTATAAGACAATGTAATGCTATGTTTTATTTGTGTTTATATAAATAATTTATAGATGGAAAATATAAAAAGTATGTATAATCTTAAGTTTTACGCTAATTTTGTTATAATAATAGCATTTGTAATAGTTTTTGAACATATGTGTAAATTCATTGAGCCGTTCGTTTCTTAATCGATTTGAGTTGTGTACGGTTAATTTCTTGATTCGTTAGGGGTTCCTTTAAGTATTAGATGACTCACGACCGGATTGACGCTGGTATTTCGGTCGATTTACACCCATCCAAGATTCCGAGACTTGATGCAATCGCTCTCATGTTGACCAAGCCCATCGATTCTGAGCTGCCAGAGTCTGGTAAGACATGAATGTCCGCTTTGCCTAGACACACTAGGCAGGAAGGCCCGGATTAATCATTTGAAAAATACACATTAGACCCCTCGTCTTTTTCACTTCGATTTCGTATCGAGCCTTGACCCCGGGACAATTGGCATGCCATTATTGACTTGCAAGATTCACAACGGAAACCGCACTTCGTACTCACTTTCAGAGAGCATCGTACCCGGTGCTGTTGTGCACATGGATAAGGAATTAACACTTTGGCCTAGTGCTTGACTAATCGTCATCCCCGCTAACGCCTGCCCGGCCAACTCCTGTCGTAGGCCAAGAAATGATCCCCATGAAATTCACTCCTGGCCATCCGAAGTGCTAATGTGGACTGATACCCTCTCGACTGACTTGGTGTAACCTCGGATGGACTGTCCCTTTCCGCTGCAGTGGTCCATCTTTAAACACCCGGCTCTCCCACACCTGGCCCATCGAGGTTGATCACAACTTTCCCATGCTGATCCTCCTGACTAAGATTTGCCCTGTGCATTGGGCTTCAGACGAAAGATCCACCATCTTCGTTACGGATCTCCTTAAACATGATTCCGCCCGGGATCAACTAGCCGACATGTGGACACTTTTCATGGAACTTGAGCATATTCTGGTCCGAGACTGGTTCATTCTTTGCAATCGGTTTGCAGCAGACGATCAACGCTTGCAAAATCTGATGCAGGTCTGTAGAGATCACTTTGGCAAGCGTGTACGAGTAGAGGACACACCCCTCAGGTCGATTCAATCTCTACTCGTACACCGCTCGAGGCGACAGTCCAACTCTTCAACCTTTACGGCCAAAGATGGAGACTTGATCATGCTGCCGAGGCTCTCCTTAGGCTGCAGGACCTTCTCAATTGAGTATGGACCGCACCTTTATTGTTCTTTATCTGTCGAAAGGGCTCCATGCCCAGTCTTCTGAATACTTCCCGCAAATGGAATCAGAAGGACAAAGGGGAAGTGGACAAATCCCTTCGTCAGACGCTATTCCTCGCGGTGTTCGCCGAATTGGTTCAGAGAGCAACGAAATTGCAATTGGAGAAAAGCGAAGACGAATTCATCCAAAAGCTCCAAGGGCAAGCAGGTTGGATTAATTAGCGGGTTCTTCCCCCGTTAAGATCAACAAGATCAATAAGATTTGAAATTCGAGGGATTGAGGAGGATATCTTTCTAATAAAAATGATGATTTGATAATGGATAATGAAATGAGGATTTGGATTTGATGATGGATGATATCACGAAAGGTAGCCTGGTAAGGACTACCTTGAGTTTGCTTTGCGAAGCAAAGGGACTGGCTTGAGAGTTTGTTCGGGACTAAAGATTGGTAGATTAATGTCTAACACCCCCACCCCCCCCCCCCCCCCCCCCCTCTGCCGAATGTTCGGTAAAACAATTGGTTCCCCCCCCCCCCCCCTCTCCCCTGTCCTTTCCCCTCGTCGCCAGCACTACTTAATTCTGGACATAAGGTGAAGTTATGCGCTTAAGGTTGCGCAATACAGCACGAACCCTGCGTAATGCAGCTTCGATGCCGCGCGTGCGCACCCGACAGCCTGATACAGTGCGTATTGCGTTCATAGACCATATTGCTCGACACTAACGAGCATCGATGCAACACAACCTCTCTGCAAAGCCCTGTGGAGAAACCCCTCGCGTCGCGGAACACCATTCGACTTAACCTTATACCCTAGCGTGGCGAAATCTTATCGCATCGTGGAGCACACCCACATAGCGTGACGTCCATCCCTGGCAGTACCGGCCGCACCCCTCCAGCACTATCCTTATAGGGTTGGTCACTGAGTCTTATAAGGGTTGGTCACTGAGTCAAGTCATTGCGGCTTCGACGCAACGCGTGCAGGCCTGTAATCCTGATACAGTGCGTGCAGCTGTGGGACTATAGCTGGTACACATGCGAGCGTTTACGCATTGCCCGTTTTACTCACGCCTGTTTTCACACACCTAGACACAAACGAGCGTCGACGCAACGCAGCCTCTCTGCAGAGCCGTGCGGCGCAATCTGACCGCAACGGAGTTCCTCTTGAGCCTTCTTCTGCCTTCTTGTGCTCTCTGGCTTTGTTGGTTTCATCCATGACTGACCAAGGGGCACGTTCCTGAAATACCGGAGACAATCCCTCACCAGAAAAGGTCCCGACAGCTACTCGGTCCGTCTCTACCTTTCGTGTTTCCCCGCTCAAGTGCCATAATAAATCATTAATATTGGTGAATAGGATGGGATAATTGAATAAAAAATAAACAAATAAAATGACGAAAATATTGAATATTGGCAAAAAAGAATATAATAAAGAATTATAAATATAATAATTACGAAAGGTAATAATTATTTTATTTGAATTTTCTTTTTGTTTTAATAAAAATAGATTAAAAATAAAAAATATTATTTTATTAAGAAATTGTTTTCGATTCCGGCTAAAATAATCGTAAAAGCCGATGATTTTTTACAGTGTCTAGGCTTTAAAAATGGTCGAAAAATTATTAAAAATTTGGAAAGATTTTGTTAGGAAGGGGTTTTTCGGCGTTTGGAGGGAGGCTTCTAAATGGCACAAAACGACGGTATTTACACGGATTTGTGTGCTTTCAAATTACGATAGGTTTTGGACTGTATACGCTTTAAAATGGCCATAAAATACCGTAAATGCCAATATTTTCATGTATTTTTTAGTTCCTCCTATCTTCAGAAGTGGTCTCAAACCACGCTATTTATAGGCTGTTTTGTGGCGGAAAAGGCTTTTGCGGTGTTTAGAGGCTTCAAAGTGGCACAAAACGACGGTACTTATACGGGCGTCTGCACCTTCTTGCCACAAAACCCTGTATATTGGGATGGTTTCAAATTATGCACGCTTTAAAATGGCCACAAAATAACGTAAATACCATTAATATTAATGTTTCTAGGATTACGCCTGATTCCCTGTTATTTTTCGGTCACTCCCTCCTCTTTCAATTTTTATTTCTGGAATAATTGGAATTGATTAATAGGGGGAAATGATTTTATTACTTGGGGGATAGGATTTCTGTAAGGGATTCATTGTATATTTTTTTTTCAAAAGGGAAAATTAAATATATTTTTGCTAAATCATTTTTGGCATTTTGGGAAATAATTGATAATATGTAATTTGAGGAGATATTAATAAAAGGATTGATGAATAGGATGAGGCAATTGAGAGATGATGATGAGAATTAGGAAAATGAAAGCAATATTAAAAGAACAGAAAATAAATATATTGAAGACTATTTAAAACGAATATAATATAAAATAGTTATAAATTAACAATCTTTAATAGGAAGATGTTAAGGTGGAAATCTATGTTTTAGATTAATTTAGTCTTGTGGGGATTGAATTGGGATTGATTAATAGGGGGTGGTTATTTAGTATTATATATGTATTGTATAAATGGGAATTGATCGAAAATACCCCGTAAAAGATTTTTTATAAAATTTTTTGGTTTTTCTTTTCAGATGTTGTTAGAATTATTCGCGAAAGATTCGCGATGAGGTTTACGAAAATATATTGTGTTTTTGCGATGGATTTATCGAAGGTCATCATTTTGATATATTTTTCCTTCTATTGGATTAATAAAGAGTAGAAATACAAGGCAATCCTCCCATATGTCATAGATTAACGAATTGAAGCCTCAACATTTCCGTGCCCAGCCCTAGTAGCGCGTAAAGGATTCTCCGATTCCTGTCCTCACTGTCACAGACTAACCTGAGTAGGCACAGCCCTGACAATTAGGCAACGACCTGCAGTTGCTCTGACGGGCTGTGCAGATATTTGCAAAAATTACGGCTTCCCGGGGAAACCATCAGCGAAATTATGCGAAAGATCCGCGAAAATTTCGCGAATGTGTTGCTAAAATCCAGGTTCCCAGCTTGAGGCCCCGCAACATTCCCCAAGTTGTATCACCCTGTGTTGGTAGTTGGCACGAGGATTGGCCCTGAATAGCTGTTGGAACGCTCAACTTTCTACTGGGGGCCATGCTGCAAGATGTCTGTCCCTATTTTGTGATATTATGATATGTTCCGGTTCATATTAGCTAGACATGGTTATAGGATCATGCTTCGCGATGAGGTCGCGAAAGATCCGCCAAAGATATCATTTTTTCCGCGAAGAATGGTCGTTCCAGGATGAAAGAAGATTGATCATCCACCAAATGATT